CTATCCATAGGGGTCATTTTTTAGGGATTATCTAATATTTTAGAGAGAGGGGAGAGTTATTCTAGAGAGAGAAGGAAGCCCCATGTTCTTTGTGAATCAAGATCTTTCTCAAGCCTTGGAATTTCATCAAAAGGAACTTGCTAGGGTTTCTAAAAGGTAAGAATTTCTTCCCCTAATTCTCCGATTTCGGATTTGGGTTGATTATGGGTGAGGAGAGTAGATTTATCACATGCATGAGCTAATAGGGATTGTGGGGAGGTTGTTGGGAAATCTTGGGTAGTTTTATTGTTGAATTGGTTTAGGGAACGGTTGGGCCATCATTGTAGCAGCTCTTGCCACACCAATTCCTCTAATCAAACTTGTAATTCTCTCCCCTTATATAGATTGACATCGTTAGGAGTGTCAGGACACTATTGTTACACCACGGGAAGCTCTTTCGAGGTATGTTGGCTAAACTTCTCTCTAGAGTCGAATTCCATGATGATCCTGTAGGTTTCAAGCGTGGTTGGCCCAAGTTCTTATTTCCTCATGATTCGGGTCATTCCTAAAATATTCAGTTATTCCAAATAAGCATTGTGTGGGAAATTATATGTTCAAAATGTGATTCAATTGCTCCTATCACATTATGCTCTCCCTCAGAAATGTGTTCAAGTGTGGCTTATGTATCAAAATGTTATGACTTCAATTCATGTTTCAATGAATGTTATTATGCTTAAAATTGGAAAGGAAACTCAATGCTCTTATTATCGATAACCTATGATGTTGCTTGAAAGTGAAAGAAGCGAGTATGAGATGTAGAAATGTGGCCATCGTGCCAAGAATGAGAATTACATTTGTGGCCAATAGTGCTAATGAAATGAAAGAATGTGTGAAAGATTATGAAATGAGTTTTGACTCTTTTATATAATAATGTTATTAATGTACTATGATCAGCCATGAAAGTACAAGTAAGTGATAGTATGTTGTGGACGCTTGCCAAAATAAGAATCATGAGGCATTGTATGTTCCAATGGTTTCAACTATAGTTTGTATGCTTCTAAAATAATGAATCTAAATGACTTCGATGTTAAGTCACCAAGAATCATGAACTTAGGATCTTAATATGACAAGGAGGTATATAATGAGGTGGAAAAGAGACGTCATATGTTAAATGATGACGAACCTTAAGAAAAGAAATTGGGTCCATGCACCATTGAAATCTACTTATTGATTTGCCATGCATGCGTTAATGTAATAAACTGTGTTTCTCCATGATGAGCATGAGGAAATTACTACCTTAATGGTAATGTTAATCATGTTGCTTGAGTGTATATATGGTCGTGTGCATGATGGTATAATATGTAAATCCTATGGACGGTCTATGAAACGCATAAGTGTATAATAGAATATGTGAATCCTATGGACAGTCTATGAAATGCATAGGTGTATAATATAATGTGAATGAACCCTATGGACTGTCTATGAAACGCATAGGTGTATAATATAATGTGAATGAACCCTATGGACTGTCTATGAAACGCATAGGTGTATAATATGAATGAACCCTATGGACGGTCTATGAAACACATAGGTGTAAAATATAATATATGAATCCTATGGACGGTCTATGAAACGCATAGGTGTATAATATAATATGTGAACCCTATAGACGGTCTATGAAACACATAGGTGTATAATAAAATATGTGAACACTATGGACGGTCTATGAAACGCATAAGTGCAAAGTAAGAGAGGGATATCGACGGTCTGGTGAAACGCATAGGCAACACAAACAATAGGTGTCACTTCCATTGCCCTTGTTTGTACATGTTGGTACTTTTACATTATATTTTGTACCCCACACATAGTTCATAGGGCACACTTGATCCCAAAAGAAGTTCAAAATGATGTAAGTAAAATAAGACTTGACATGTGATGCTATGGGTCATTTTGTAGTTTCTTGACGTAATTTATTTGCCTCTTATTTTAGTTACCGTATTTCCATATGTTGTTCTGTCTGCCTTATATACGAGTACTATTCCACATGTACTCACGTCCTTTTTGCCGGGGGAGATGCATCTTTTAATGGATGCAGGTTGTTTCATAGCAAGGGGCATCGATCAGTGATAGCAGTACACCTCCTCTTAGCTAACTTGGTGAGCCCTACTTCATATAGGGGTCATGTATCTTTTGTTTCTTATGTATTGTGTATTGTGTATTGAGGTATAGCTGGGGCGTTGTTTCCGGAACTATCCTAATACTCTTTTGTACCCGTTAGACGCTCCGTAGACATGGTGTGGGTTGTACGTTGGTATTGAGAAGGTCAAACTAAATATATTGTAATTGTATCACATGTTCCACTTCTAAACTATGGATGTGTAATGTAATATTTTGGGGACTTATAAATGAAGTAGCTAATAGTAATGAATTGGTGTGGTATACATGATCTCCGTATTGTCTAATTAATGAAAATATATTTTCTCGTTATTCATGGGTGAGTTTGAGTAGAAGGAAATCTAGCAGGCTTGCTCGCTAGGATTATCCCGGTTGAGCGCTCCCCGTGGTCGTGGTGTGACAATGAAGATGGTGCCTCTAGACTATGACGCCTTTTAATAATGATATGCATTTTCGAGAGATCCTCTGGCCATGGCATGATGTCCTCGGGCTATGAGGATGATGCCTTCAGACTGTGACGCCTTCAGACTGTGCGGTGATGTTTCAGCCCATGAAATGCACAGATGTATTGATATTGATTGCTTGATAGGTGATGTTTAGTCATATGCGATAATGAGACAAGGCAATGCTTGGCCTTATACAAATAACGGAGACAATGCTTAGTCTCATACAATATAATTAGGGCAGTGCTTAGCCCTTTGCAGGGGAAGGTGGTGCTTAGCCTTATGCAATAATGGAGGCAGTGCTTAGCCTCATGTGATGAAAGTCAGCATTTAGCATTATGCAATGATGAGGGGAGTGCTTAGCCCTATGCAATGTAATAGAGATAGTGCTTAATCTCATGCAAAGGAAGGCAGCATTTAGCCTTATGCAATGATGAGGGCAGTGCCTAGCCCTATGCAATGTAATGGAGACAGTGCTTTGTCTCATGCAAAAGAACGTTGTGTTTAGCCTTATGCAATAATGAGGGCAGTGCTTAGCCCTATGAAATGTAATGGAGAGAGTGCTTAGTCTCATACAAATGAAGGCATTGTTTAGCCTTATGCAATGATGAGGGCAGTGCTTAGCCCTATGCAATATGATGGAGACACTACTTAGTCTCATGCAAAGGAAGGCAGCATTTATCCTTATGCAATGATGAGGGCAATGCTTAGCCCTATGCTGGAAAAGCAACGACTAAATATGAGAGAGAAAGTGGTCCTTAGCTTGATGCGGTTGTGCATGGTGATGTCTATCGGTGTGAAGATAGAGATCTTATTGTATGTACATATTTGTGGGCGTGCTTGTTATGTCCATTGTGCCTGCATCCAAAGAAAAATCGTGAGTTGTGGGGGAAAGGTTAGTTTGTGCTCTCGATTCCTCGCTTTGCCTTCGCTCTTGTCTTGACACCTTGTTCGAGTCACCCTGTGTAACATCTGGCTACTACAGAAAATGCGGTTTTCGAAAATATGCATTTATGGTAAATCATTTGTAAGTGATGCAATTGCTTTAAACATAATGAACAAAAGTAAAAAGTTTGGTTGAATCATAGACTGTGACATGCTTTGAGACATTATGACCTTCTTAGCTCGGAATTTTGAGGACCCCCTCAAAATTCTACCCCAGTTTAATTTATACTTTCGGCGAGACACTTCTTGGCGATCCTTGACATAATGAGATTGATGAAATCTAGAAATCTTTCCCCGGTTCCTGGCCGTAGAGGGGAATGAAGATTTTATTATGATGTGACCGAACCCACAGGGCTGCCTACGTATCCCTTCTTAAATGGGAATCGGGTCAAGTGTAGTTCATGTTACATCAGAAGAAAGTGCAAATACAATATTAAACGTAATATCTCTTGATGGTGTCCAAATTGATAGGTTTTGGCCATATCTCTCTGTCCATATCTGCAAGTATGAGTGCTCCTCCTGTCAGTACTCGGTGAATCATGTAAGGGCCTTGCTAATTAGGTGAGAATTTTCCTTTTGTTTCGTCCTGGTGCGGGAAGATCTGCTTCAACACCAATTGACTTAGTATGAATTGCCTTGGTCTAACCATTTTGTTGAAAGCCTTTGTCATTCTATTCTAGTAGAGTTGACTGTGACACATTGCATTAATTCTTTTACCGCCAATGAGAGCCAGTTGCTCATACCGGCTCTGTATCCATTCTGCATCGCTAAGCTTGGCCTCCTGTATGATTCGTAGGGAAGGAATTTCCACTTCGGTGGGCATGACATCTTCAGTGTCGTAGACCAGTAAATAGAGGGTTGCCCCGGTTGATTTGCAGATTGTGGTGCGGTACCCGAGCAGGGCAAACAGTAGCTTCTCGTGCCATTTCTTGTAGTTATCCACCATCTTCCTTAATATCTTCTTGATATTCTTATTGGAGGCTTCTACGGCTCCGTTCATTTGTGGCCTATATGTTGTGGAGTTTTGGTGCTTGATTTTTAATGTTTCACACATGGCTTTCATTAGATCATTGTTGAAATTAGCAGCATTGTTGGTAATGATTGACTTGGGTACTCCGAATCGACAAACAATATGATTCTGAATGAAGTCTGCTATGACCTTCTTAGTCACAGCTTTATAGGAAGTGGCTTCAACCTATTTTGTGAAGTAATCTATATCCACCAAGATGAATCTGTGTCCGTTGGAGGTAGCGGGTTCAATTGGTCCGATGACGTCCATGCCTCAGGCAGAGAAAGGCCAAGGTGAACTCGTTGCATTGAGTTCGTTGGGTGGCACTCGTATCATATCAGCATGTACCTGGAAATGGTGACACTTCTCTACATACTTGATGCAGTTTGTCTCCATAGTCATCTAGAAATACCCTGCCTTTAATATCTTCTTGGCAAGAATGAACCTGTTCATGTGAGGTCTGCAGGTTCTGGCGTGTATCTATTCAAGCAACCTAGATGCCTCCATGGCATCGACACATCACAGCAATCCCAAGTCAGGAGTCCTTCTATACAGAATTCCTCTGCTATTAAAGAAATGGTTGGCCAATCTTCAAAGCGTACACTTATGAGTGTGTGTAGCATTTCCTGGTATTCTCCTTTCTCCAAATACTCCTTGATGTCGTGAAACCATGGATTTCCATCAAACTCATCTTCAACATTAACACAATAAGCTGGTTGCTTTCGAATCTCTATCGAGATAGGATCAATAAAATTCTCGTATGGATGTTGTATCATGGAAGAAAAAGTAGCCAACGGACCGGCAAACTCATCTGAACTCTTGGAACATGTTTGAATTCTATCCTTGTGAATCTTTTGATCAAATTTTGCACAAAGTGGAGGTATGGCAATATCTTAGTGTTTTTGGTGGCCTATTCTCCGAGTACTTGATGTACCAGTAGATCTGATTCTCTAATTACCAGCAATTCCTGAATCTTCATGTCGATCGCCAACCTAAGTCCCACAATGAAGCCTCATATTCTGCCATATTGTTGGTGCACGAGAATCTGAGCTTGGTGGATACCGGGTAATGTTGACCGGTTTTTTATACCAGGACAACTCTGATGCCCACTCTTTTGAAGTTTGTTGTTCCGTCAAAAAAATCCTCCAACCATCATATGTTTCGGCAATATCTTCCCCTATAAATGACACTTCCTCATCGGGAAAATATATCTTTAACAGTTCGTATTCTCCGTCTATGGGGTTCTCCACCAGGTGATCGACCAATGCTTTCCCCTTGACCTCTTTCTGAGTCACATAGATGATGCCGAATTCACTTAGTAATATCTACCACTTTGCTAGCTTACCCGTAGGCATAGGTTTTTGAAAGATGTATTTTAGTGGATCCACCCTTGATATGAAATATGTGGTGTATGTGCATAAGTAGTGTCTCAATTTCTGGGCTATCTATGTCAAGGCACAACAGGTACGTTCCAACAAAGAGTACCGGGCTTCGTAAGGTGTGAACTTCTTACTCAGATAGTATATCACCTGCTCCTTTCTCTCGGTTTCATCATGTTGCCCCAGGACGCACCCAAAGACTCCGTCCAACACGGATAGGTACAGAAGTAGAGGTCTCCAGGGCTCTGGTAGGACCAACACGGGCGACTTGGACAAGTACTCCTTGATTTTATCGAAAGCCTTCTTGCACTCTTCAGTCCAACTCATTACAACATCTTTCCTCAGCATTTTAATGTTCGACTCACATATTATCGTTGATTGTGCTATAAAACGACTGATATAATTGAGGCGGCCCAGAAAACTCATCACCTCTTTCTTGCTCTTTAGCGGTGGCACGTCCTTAATAGCTTTGATCTTTGACGGTTCTAACTCAATGCCGCAGTGATTGACGATGAAACCCAGCAACTTTCCAGTAGGGACTCCGAAAGCATATTTTGCAGGATTTAACTTCATATCGTACTTGCAATAGGTCAAAAAACTTTCTTAGGACTGTTATGTGATCTGAACTCCTCTTAGCCATTTTCTTCCGGAACCGGTACAATGTTGGCTAGCCAGGTTGGGTACTCGACCACCCGGAGGACCATGGCTTTGATTTGTTGTTACACACCATATTTTCGTACGTGAGAGTACGTCGTAAGTCAATTGATGTAAGCTAGAAATGAGATTATATTTGAAAGTACATAAAGTAAGTTAATCATGTTACCATGGAGGTGACAAATCTTTAAGATCATGGATAACGAGTACCAAGAGGGTTGGAAGGCTTAGAAGCTAAACGGATCGAAGAAAATAAGTTTCGTCGAAAGTCGACAAGTTGGGAATGTTATGACATGTACTTTGGAATGAGACTAGGGTTCTTAACTTGATAAGGAAGTTATGTTATAAGTTATTTTTGTCTTATGATAGTCGTGTATTACATTTTGAAGTTAAGCGAGTTGTGGAACAAAAGTTGGCAAAGGTCATCACAAGTTACATTCATAATGTGCTGAAAATTAGGTAAAATGTAGCAGAGCTTTAACTCCTAATATACTTATAATTACAGCTCCCAATGGGACCCACTTACAGCTTCCAATGGGACCCAATTCATCGATACGATATCGTAGTAGAGAGATATTTGCGTTTTTGCGAGATTGCGCAAGCAGCTCCTAATAGCACCCACTTAGGCGGTGGACGACCTTTGAACATTTTAAAGGGTTTGGACGGCTCATTGTTTGGTCATTTTCGACCAAGGACGGTTTCAAAACTCTCCCAAAACATCTCTAACAGTCCTCCATGGTTCCAAGTCGAATTCAAGGTGGTTTTGCCTAGACCTAACCTCAACAATTAGCCTAAGTGAAGAAAAGAGTTTCTATGGTGTTGTGATGCCATTAAGGGTTCTTGTAAGCTAAAAGAAGCTTTGATTCGAGTTTTTCTGATTATTTAAGGTATGTATAACACCCTATTGCTTGGGCTTAAGCTTATCTATGTGTTGGTTAAGTTATTTGGATGAAGAATTACAAGATAGAACTTGAAGTTGTATAAGAAGTTGTTGTCTCTTATTGGACTATTTTAGAGTTGTGTTTATGACTTCATATGACAGGAAATTATGGAAAATAAGTTGGCTATGATATTGTTAGTATGATTATGTTGGTTTACATGTCAATCTTGTTGAGGAAATTGGTAACTAGAAAAGAAATGGCTATAAAGCACTTGGAAGTTGTCCATAGTGATATTATGTTGTGTTAGGCTATTTCGGGTAACTTTGAAAAATAGTACAAGGTTGGATATCCTTTAAACGGTATTGGATATTTTACTAGATATATACTAAGTTCAAGAATGAATGATAATGGAGTTGAAGGGTGCTAAAGGGATTCAATCCGAGCTTGCCGCTCGTCGTGATATGTTGATGACTTATTAATGAAATATTTTGCGCCCTATTGTTGATGTTGTTCTTACTGTATTGCTCTAGTTGTTTTTGATGGTATATGGTTTTTAAGGAGGCCCTTGTTACAGGGGAGATGCTGCCCAAATTTACATAAACGAGCTACTAGTTTAAGTTGCGAACTTAGCCTTTATTCAACACTGATTTTGAATCTTCTTATGTTATTGTAGATTGATTTGAGTTGTTTGAAGAATTTATTGGAAGGTATTAAGGACTCAACGGAGTTAAGGTATGTTAAGTCTATCCATTCTTTTCTTTTGGCATGATCCATATGATACAATGAAATGAGCAAAGACGCAACTTTCACAAGTGACTCTATTCTTAGAAGTACTCGGGATGCCTATGTTCTTGATTCCCCATGTGTCCTAATATTATATCGTCTGTTCATGGGTCTAAGAAAATATTTAAGCTGATAAAGATTATTTCCTGATATAAATCGAAGGCATATTAATCTTATGACATTCCGAGAGATCTTATTGACTTACTTTATTATGCATTGCATTCATTTATACATGTACATTGACCCATGACCAGATGGCATTATATACGCATATATTATATGTATATGGGGTATGGGGAAAGGTTATGGCGTTACATATGCACCACCACTTGATCAGCTGACATACGTTGATGATTTCACCCACAGAGGCCGAGATGATATGATGGGATGCCCTTATAGGCTTGATGACATTATCTACGCATATACTTATGCATGATATGGCATTTATACGCATATGCATGACATTATAAATGTTTCATGATTCAAAGAGCTATTCAGACTTACAGGTTGAGTTCTTTACTCCATGTTTCTTTCATGTCTTTTATATACCGCTCATGTCTTACATACTCGATACTTTATTTGTACTGACGTCCCTTTGGCGTGGGGGCTCTACGTTTCATGATCGCAGGTCCCAATAGACAGGTTGATAGTCCTCCTAGTAGGCTATCAGCCCAGCGGAAGGTGTTGGTGCACTCCACTTGCTCCGGAGTTACCTATTTGGTCAGTATGCTTTGGGCATGTATATATTAGTATGGCGGGGCTCTATCCCGACCTTTATATCGTTTATATACTATTAGAGGCTTGTAGACATATGTCATGTATATGGATGATTGTATGGCCTTGTCGGCCTATGTTTTGAGTGTACAAATGATCATTTCGGTCGTATAGGCCCATATGTCAAATGTATAAGTTTCTATATCATGTTGGGTCGTCCTATGCCTAGTATTCCCTTATATTTTATTCTGGTTATCTCATGACGGCCCTACTGGACCACTTACCCATGATGGTATGATAAGAAATATATGTTATGTTGGTACTCGTTTGAGTAAGGCACCGGGTGCCCGTCGCGGCCTGCGGTTTGGGTCATGACAAAAGTGGTATCAGAGCAGTTGTGTCCTAGGGAGTCTACAAGCCGTGTCTTGTAGAGTCTTGTTTATGGGTGTGTTGTGCACCACACTTATAAGCATGAGGCCACAAGGCATTTAGGAATGTCATTGATCATGTGGTAGATCTCAGTTGTAAGAATTCTAACTCCTAAATTCTACTTTATTCGTAATGCAACGATACCTACATCCACAAAGATAGTTGGTAAGAATTTTTCTTCATGTTTATGATGGCTGTGGAAGAGTTGAGTTAGAGGAACTCGATTTTTCTTCATGCTTATGATGAATAAATGTAAGGTCTTCAATAGATTATGTGTGTACTAAATCGTGTAAGCTTCTTGATAAGGAGCCCTAAGGCATGAATATCAATCCACCTATGGTTTTAAAAGCAACAAGAGAATTAGAAGGTAGGTACAAGTTTCAACAACTAAAAGAAGCAAGGTGAAGAAGGGTACGAGGTGCCCAGTTAGTGAAGATTATTAGTTTTTACAATTCATGTAGAGAAATATAAGCATTCTAAGTTACTTTCAATAGTAACAGAGATATATACAATTGGCCACACCCATCTCAGTTATGCCCTATGAAAGCTAATATATATAATTTAAGGGAAGAATGGGACATCATGATCTAGCCCGGGTTAGAGTAACCCAAAATGGTGAATGGATTATTATCATTAGCTAACATTTTCGAAGGATAGTGCAAACATGGTAATAGATCTCCTTGTGAGACACCCAGATGGTGCACTCTACAATAGTACAGTCAGATATGAATACTAGAATGTTCAGAAATTTCAAAAAATATGTAGTGGAATCCTAGAAGTGATAAATATTTACCTTAGTATGGCTCCCGTCCCTAGTAAAGAGAGAATATTAAGCAACCCGAAGAGCCAGTGAGATGGTGCAAGGGGAGCTAAAAGAGAAAGAATGTTTTGGTGAAGTTTTCAGAACAAGGTAATAGACAGAAACATTAGCAGGAGAATAAGAAAAGAGTAAATGAAGCATTATGACTAAGATGTGATAAATGGGTGATAACGATAAATCAAAATATGACAGAATGACAGAGGCTATAGTCAAGTGAAGGGAAAGACAAGAGGATACATGCCTTGAATCAATAAAAGGGTATAAGCCATGAAGTCATATCCTCATTTTGAGAAATAAGTTGGTGAATCCAACATAATTACCAAAAGGACCAACAAGTAGTTAGTAGGATATTTAGGAAGAGTCTAGTTATGTCTAGGCAAGAAAATACAAATAAATCAACAGATCTTGCAAGATAAACGTAGTGAACCCCAACATAGGGAATTGAGTCTCGTAGATATGACATTGTGATACTTGAGAAATATTCAGATAGGAGTTTGGATAGTTAAAGGTGTCGTATATGTTTTACGGAAATAAAAGAGAGTGACACTAGGAAGACATTCAAAATTTCAGTTCATAAGCAACCATACAAGCACAAGCGCGGAGGTAAGTAACTAAGGATAATTATGGGCGAGTAAGAACATCAAATAATCCTTCTGGTATACGATGTAATAAGCACGCAGCTTTACAAGAGTCAGAGGGTGTCCCCTAAGTACTACAACATAATACTAGCTGAGGAAATAAGGAAGAAGTCTTCAACCTAAGCATAGTGACCTAAAGAAGAAATGATCTTGTAACAACAGTCTCACTACAACATTATATGCACTCCATAAGAATGAGGCACCAATCGTGGCTAATTAACGGGAAGAAAAAAAATTCAAAAGTGATATTTGAGATCATGAGTTACAGGGAATTCCAGTATTTGTGGGCACTAAGATAAGCCAAGTATCCATGCAGCAAGTGGCAGAACGACCAAGAAAAGTAATTGTGTATGTTTAAAGACAACTAAGAAGGCACGAAAGGAAATCTATGATGCTAGCACGTTAAAGGAAGGTTGTGAGTAGTATAAATAGACATGTGTAGGTCGCAAGCTAAAGTATGGTGGAACGACAATGTTTTTGGTAGATAGGAGTAAGGATAAGAAAAAGTGAGCGAGAAGGTGACAAGAATAGGTAAGGCCTCAGAATTAAGCCCATCAAAACAAGAGAGCTGATGGTTTTTGTAAGTTATAGAAAGCTCAGTATAACCTGAATGAACTCGGAGGAGTCTAAGACTAGGTGCATTTAGAAGAGATG